TGTGATGGAAGGAGGGGGTTCTCGTAATGATCCGGGCTGCTGAATTCTGAACAAGTTGAAGTTTATGGAGAAATTTGAGATGGACGCCGAAGAGAAGTGAATTGCAGTAATCGATGCGGGAGGTGACGAGGCTGTGAACAAGAATAGCAGTCGTGTGAGGTGTGAGAGAGGGACGGAGACGGTTGATGTTACGGAGGTGGAAATATGCAGACCGGGTAATGTTATTGATGTGGGAGTGGAAAGACAGTGAGCTGTCGAGGATGACACCCAAGCTCTTGACCTGAGGGGAAGGAGATACAGTGGCATTATCGATTGTGAGAAAAAAAATTGTCTGCTTTGGATAGTGTGGATTTAGTACCGACGAGGAGGAGTTCTGTTTTATTGCTGTTTAACTTTAGGAAGTTATGGGTGAACCAAGATTTGATTTCTGAGAGACAGTGAGAAAGGCAAGAGGGTGGGAGGGAGGCGTCGGGTTTGCTGGAGAGGTAGAGCTGGGTGTCATCCGCGAAGCAATGAAAGTGAACACCAAATTTTCGAAAAATATTGCCGAGCGGAAGAAGGTAAATGATGAAAAGGAGGGGACCCAGGACAGAACCCTGGGGGACACCAGAAGTGACGGGAAGGGATTGTGAAGTGAAGGAATTGAGTTGGATGAACTGAGAGCGGCCTGTGAGATACGAGTGGAACCAACTTAGGGGGGGTGGGTGATGCCTAAGGTGGAGAGTCTATTCATGAGGATGGAGTGTGAAATGGTGTCGAAAGCTGCACTCAGGTCAAGGAGGATTAGGATAGAGATTAAGCCAGAGTCTGCTTTGTCGTCTGTTTTGTCATCCGGGTGCGCTTGATTCAAAGGTGCTTTTTTTTTCGCTCTCTGCAGACAGCGGTGCGCTCAGTCCTGAGCCTGCCTGACACAAAAAAAGAAAAGAGCTCCTGCAACGAGTCGCCGTGCTTGCTTTGACCTTTAAGAGCAGAACATCTTGCACATGTTTGAGATGAGTGGACAGCGTGTGCGTCACAGCGGGGAAATTCATGGCCGAGCCTGAAAGAGTCTCCCACTTGCGTTGCAGCAGGCTTGTGGAAATGTCAGGGGAGGGGGGTGGGGGGGGCTTTGCCTTCGTCTTCTTTCAAGACAAACGTCATCGGTCGACGCTTACAGGAAATGTCAGGCACAAATCGGAGGCCCCCGCAAAGGAATGCGAGCGCGCCGTCGACTTGCGTGCTGCCGAAGCGCGCTTTGCCGTCACGCTCTCGCGGCTTCGTCCGTTCGCGTGCGTGTCGGCTTGCGGATCGCAAGTCCAACGAGCGCCGAAAATGTCGCCGGCTTGGCACGGCCGCACGACGCGAGGCCGCTGACATTTTCCTGACCGTGGAAGAGGAAGCTCACATTTGAACGCTTATTTGCGGTGGAATAACGGCCGCACTTCAAGCGTCACCAGCTGATGATTGTTGTTTCCTTGTCATGAAATAAAACTAAATAGCAAACAACGAAGCAATCCCAGATGAGGGCGGCTGAGGCAATGTTTTCGAAAAACAAAGACCTGCTTCCTGGCTCCACCTTCATTG